GTTGATGACATAGTGTTTGGGGGAATGTCAGATAAAATGGTTAAACATTTTGCTGACCAGATGCAAGCTAAATTTGAAATGAGCCTCATGGGAGAATTGACCTACTTTCTTGGACTGCAAGTCACACAGATGGAAGACTCAATTTTTTTGTCTCAAAGCAAGTATGCAAAGAAAATTGTCAAGAAGTTTGGGATGGAGAATGCCAGTCACAAAAGGACTCCTGCACCTACTCACTTAAAGCTGTCCAAAGATTCAAGTGGGGTCAAGGTGGACCAAAGCTTATACAGAAGCATGATAGGAAGTTTGCTATACTTAACAGCTAGCAGACCTGACATTGCTTTTGCAGTTGGAGTATGTGCAAGATACCAGGCTGAACCCAAAGTAAGTCATATCAACCAAGTGAAGAGAATTCTGAAGTATGTAAGTGGAAACCACAACTATGGTTTGCTGTACTCTCATGGATGTGAACCAACTCTGACTGGTTACTGTGATGCTGATTGGGCTGGAAGTGCTGATGATAGAAAGAGCACCTCTGGAGGATGTTTCTTCTTAGGAAATAATCTTGTTTCTTGGTTCAACAAGAAACAGAACTGTGTGTCTCTATCTACTGCTGAAGCTGAATACATAGCAGCTGGTAGTAGCTGTTCTCAAATGATCTGGATGAAACAGATGCTTACTGAGTATAATGTCACACAAGATGTTATGACATTGTACTGTGACAATCTGAGCACTATCAACATTTCCAAGAATCCTATTCAGCATAGCAGGACCAAGCATATTGACATTAGACATCACTTCATCAGAGATCTTGTAGAGGAGAAGACGATTAAACTGGAACATGTTGCCACAGAACTACAACTGGCTGACATTTTTACCAAGGCACTTGATGCAAATCAATTTGAAAATTTGAGGGGAAAGCTGCGTATTTGCCAACATGAAGATATGTAGCAATTAATTTTGCTTAAAACAAGGGATGAGAGAGATGTTTTTGTTAAGTATACTCTGATTGGGCTAAGCATCTACTTCTTTATTTCTTTCCAAGATTTTAAGAAGTTGAATAGACGCTCATATATCTCACTCCTCTCGCGTTTCTGCAAAAATCTTCAATCTCTCAAACGAAGACTGCACTATTACTGCTACCTGTTTTCTAAAACTCTCAAAATGTCTCAACTATCCATGACTTCATCCTCTTCAAAGACGACTGCTTCTTCCGCATCCTCTGATCGAGAACCTAGGGCAATCACAAACTGCATGGATTCTGATGTTCTGGAGATAACTCCTCTTCGTGAACTGGCAGCTGACCCCACTAAGGTTAAGAAGCTGCGAACCAGACATGCAAGGAGGTCACAAGCTTCTTCATATGGTAAACCCTCTCAACCATCATCTTCTATTCCTTCAGAAATAGCAAATAGGGAAGGCTCAGCTTATGTTCATCAAGCTATAGCTAGACTTGTCACTAGGATTCTAAATGAGAATCACTCTGTACCTGGAATTTCTGTACCCTTGAATCAAGAATCTGCTAGTCCAAATGTTGAAATAAATCCAGATGTCACTCAGAATGTTGAGACACCAGATGATAACATTAGGAAATCTCCTGAAAATCTTGATGATCACCAGAACCCTAATGAGAAGGATGTTGAACCTCCGATTATTGATGTTGATGAATAATACTCTGATAATGACTTAATTGCAAATATCAACCCTAGCATAGCTAGAAGAATGATGAACAGAAAAGGAAAGCAGGATGCTGCCAAAAGCATCTCTAAAGAAAAGACTGTTGATATTGTTCATAAGAAAACCAGGTCTGAGAACAAGACTGGAGTAGAAACTGTGAAGGCTGGATTGTCAAAAGGGAAGGTGAAAACTCGAGTACCTGCTGGTAGTCTCTCAAAACCTGTGAGACAACCAATAGCAAAGAAAAGGAAAGAACCTGAACCCTCTGAATCTGACGAGGAATCAGAATTTGAATTTGATGTTGAAGACATTCCTCTCAAAAGGAAACTCTCCTCAAGCAAAATGCCTAAAGTCCCTGAAGTCCTCATTGACAACATTTCCTTTCACCATCCTGAGAATGCAAACAGGTGGAAGTATGTAAGTTTGAAAAGGATAGCCTTGGAAAGAGAACTGAACACCAGTGCCATGGAATGTAAAGAGATCATGAATCTAATCAAAACTGCTGGTCTAATAAATACTGTGGTAAAGTTTACCAACTGCTATGAAGTTCTTGTTAAAGAATTCATAGTGAATTTATCTGAAGGGTGTGCTGATGGAAAGTCAGCTGACTTTAAGTGTGTATATGTGAGAGGAAGGAAGGTAAAATTCTCTCCCTCTGAAATAAACAAATTCCTAGGAAGACCAGATGATGCTTGTCCTGAGCTAGAGGTTACTGACAACCAAGTGTGCCAAACCATCACTGCAAACCAAGTCAAAAGCTGGCCCTTAAAAGGGAAACTGAATGCAAGCAAGCTGAGCATGAAATTTGCCATTCTGCACAAAATTGGTGCAGCTAACTGGGTTCCCACCAACCATAAATCAACCATCTCCACAGGCTTGGGAAGATTCATTTATGTTGTTGGAACCAGGACAAACCTTGACTATGGCAAGTATATCTTTGATCAAACTTGAAAACATGCTGGAAGCTATGCTATTAAAGGCCCTATTGTCTTTCCCTCTCTCCTATGTGGTATAGTCCTTGCTCAGTATCCTGACATTCTAGTTGAAAAAGATACTATATGCAAAAGAGCCCCTGCTCTTGGGTTGCACTATAAGCTATTTCAGGGAACACATGTTCCTGACATTGTCATGATATCAGCTGAGACATCAACTGTGAAATCTCATTCCAAGAAAACTGATGTTATAGTTGTACTGAAGGAAACCTGCAAAGAGCTTATCACAAGGAAAAGGACTCTTGAGGACCTGATTGCTAGACTTGAACAGGAGGAGATTGAAGGACAAAGAAGGGAAGAGGATGCTGCTGAAGACCAGCTTCATGCTGAAGACAGTGCCTCCTCTGAAGATGACAGTGCTTGAAGATCATTGCAGTTGAAGATTTTGCTGCTGGTACCTGATGCTGCAAATGACTTTTGAATTTTTTTCTCTGTGTTTTTATTATTCTTTTTGGATGACTGTATAACCTAAAAGTACATGTATCTTTGGCCTATTTATGGCTAAAGAGGGGGAGAAGAATTTGTGTGATAATTTATTTTGGTAGAATTAGACTTGGTGGATATTATTAATTCTGCTGCTTTCTAATCTCTGATTGTTTAGGAGTTTTAGCCAAAAATTTGCCAAAGGGGGAGTTTGTAAGTGTTTGGATGTTGGCATGTTTTTTGGTAAAACCAGTTGTGTGAATGTCATGACTGATGTCATAACATTCTGGGACACAAGGCACATTCTGCAGAAAAAGAATGTCATACAGGAGCTGCTCAATATGAGTGTTTAGCTGATCATTATGCAATGATCATATTTATTACATTCTACCAAAATCTGTAAACAGGATTCTTGTTGTCATAACCAATGTTAAGACATCCTGTACTGAACTCACTTGTGCAGATTTATTATTTTCTGAGAAGTTTCAGGAATCTGGTTATTCAGTCCAGATCAGATTCTCACGTGGACTTAGGTTAACTTTGCTTAACCCTAATCTGGTTGTTAAAGTCCCATGACCAAGTCTTGAGGTTAAACCTAATTAACCCTAGCTATTTTCGTGGAAGCCCTAACTGAAGAATAACAGCCTATATATTCCTCATGAAGACTGTTGGTGGAAGATACTTTTGACAGAAGATCAATAAGGGACTGTATAGTTGTAACTACTATAATCCAAGCAATTATCATTGTGATAAGTGACTTGGAGTAGGATTTGATTGTAAGGGTTGTGTATCACTCAAAGCTTTGAAGCACGAGTGTTTGTGTCACTTGATTAAAGCTTTGAAGCAAAGTCAAGTTATGGTTGTGTATCACTCAAAGCTTTGAAGCACGAGTGTTTGTGTTACTTGATTAAAATTTGTGAAGCAAAATCAAGTGTATGTTCTGAAGAGTGTCTTCATAATTTCATTAGTCAATTGTTTAATGTCACCGCTGTGATTGAGGGGGAGTGAGTAGGAACTCAGGTTTAAGGTGAACTTAGATTGAAGTTGCATTGGGTAGGTCTTAAGTGAAGGAGATAAACTGGTTGGTTTATTCCTGAATTAATATCTCTTATAGTGGATTTCCTCCCTGGCTTGGTAGCCTCCAGAGTAGGTGTTGTTACACACTGAACTGGATAAACAATTGTCTGTGTTATTTACTGTTTTTAGTTTTACTGTCTTGAAGAGTGTCAGATACAGTGTCATAACATTCACTGTGACATTAAGTATCTGCAACCAGAATTTCAAATAGATATAATTTTTAAGAGGAATTTTCATTAAAAAACAGATAGTGGCTCGGTTTATATTTTTGTATTAATCTTAATGACTTAAGAATGGAGTTGAATTAATAAGTATAAAACTAAATTAATTCATACCTAATGTTGTTTTGTGGATAACAAAACTACATTTAATAGGATTAAAGTCCAAGTCGGCAAGACATAAATTAGTTAAAAATGAGGAAATGTCTTTTTATCCACACAACTTCAGGATTAAAGGATTAGATGATATACATGGAATTTTTCCATCACATATGACATATAAGTATTCTAGTTTTTTTTTTCTTTTTCTTTTAAATTTATCATTTTCAAATTCTAAAATTCAGATTTGTTTGGATTTTATGAAATGGACTTGTAATTTTTAAAAATAAACATTTAGACATTGAGAATAGAATAACAACATATTATTCATTAATTTATTAAGTAGAATAACAACATAATTCATATTGAAGAACTAATATTAAAGATATAAATTAAACGCACATGGACTCAATTATTCTTATGTGAGACAGTAAAAGGAAATAAAGATAGGATGGTAGTCATGAAAATTTAAAATAACTTAAATTGTAACTAGAAAGCATCTAACCTTGTTTTACTCTTATAGTAGACCTCTAGCACTCATTTCACAAAGAAGTCTCACTGCCATATTTTTCTTGCCTTTTCTTAACACAGCTTGAATAACTATTTCATAAGTTATGACATTAGGAATGCAACCATTGTCTTCCATTTTTGAAAGCAATGCCAATGTTTCATCAAACAAGCCCTCTTTACAAAGCCCTTTAATGCAAACATTTACATGATAGTCATTAGTTAGAAGTATCTTAAAAACCTCTTGTGCATCCTTAAGTCTTCCACAGCTGCACAGTCCAGCAATTAATACCGTGTACATGTATACATTTGCTTGAAAACCCAGATCCTTAATTTTCCTAAATAACACAATTGCCTCGTCGAGATTATGGTTTTTGCATAAAGCATCCATTAAGGAAGTGTAGATGATCACATCAGCAGGTTGGCCTCTATCATGCATCTCATCTATAAGATCCCAAACATCGGACATTCTCCCAGATTTGCAAAGTCCATCAATAAAAGAACTATATGTTATTGTATCAGGAGTCATACTTTTGGAACACACTTTTTTAAAGAGAATTAGAGCTTCATCCACCATTTTATTCTTGCATAATCCGTCAATCATAATATTGTAAGTATGAAGATCACGTTCCCCTCTTCCCAGGACAATAGAGTGTGTTGGAACATGTCCATGTTCCAATATGTTGAATTTAAAAATTTTCTCAAGTCCCACATTGTTAAAATATCTTTTTGATTGAAAAAGCCATTTAGTCCCACATTGCTCATGTGAGAAATATTAACTATCTTACTTCACTATATAAGGAGTGCACATATTTTATTTCAAATTACACCAAAAACTCCTTCATCACTATCATAACTCTGCGTCTCTCGAATTGTCGAAGCATCATCTTCCCCTTTCTTCCTACTTGTTGAATTTTTTGAGTATTTTCTTGAATTCTCTTTAGAGAATTATGTTAATTTCTCCTCATTTGAGTTGAGAAATTTTCAAATTTAATCTTTTTGATTCTCTTTAGAGAATTATTTGAGTTTCTTTTTGTTTGAGAAATTATTATGACTGGTCTTTGTACAGAGGCGGCGCAGTAGTTCGACTGCTTTGCATAATTTTGAGTAGTGTTGTGAAATGTTTTAAAGAGAGAGACTTAGTCTGCGACTCAACCTGGTAATTTTTTCGGTGGCAAATATTTTAAAATCCGAAAACAACAATGTTAAGACGTTTCAAACTGCCATGGCTACTGAAGAAATTATTGGTTCTTTTGCGGATATTGTCTTTGAGAAATTGTTCATGTTTGAGTGAAGTCACTTCAAACGTTGGCTACAAAAGATGAAGTTCTTAACATTGAAAAAAGTTTCTAATGTTCTAATCGATGACATTTTGTTGCTCCTTTTGGATCAATCAAACAAACTAACGGTAGTAAATCTGGAGATTTAGAAGGAACACTTAATAGTGTTGAAGTTGAATCAGCTGCACAGATTAAAGCAAATGATTTACAACATAGTAAAGAAATCACCTTATAGAAAGAGAATGAAAATCTCTACAAAATCATAATTTGAATAGACTCGCAGATGATTTGTATGATAATTACAGTTGATGTGATACTGCAAAACAAGATTGGGAGAATAAATATGACGTAGAAGTTGGAGCAAAGAAGTATGTTGTTAGCCGCTACTTTAAGTATCAAATGCAAAGATGTAAGGTTGATGGAGGCTCAATTTTACGAACTTCAAAAGATTTCTTAAAAGATCACCACAAAAGGTATGTGTTTAAATGAATAATTTCAAATTGGTTTTATTATTGACAAACTACTCCATGGTTTGAATGTTTAAAAAAAACAAAAAGGGAATCTTAGAGACAATATCAAAAAGAAAAAGTCTTGGTTGTTTCAAACAACAAAAAGAAATTCGGTGTAGTTCTGAAGCCATTTAGCAAATGATTAAAGAATCAGGACCGCAATATTGTGAACCGAATTAAGAATGGGAATCCTTCTATGATCTCAATAGCTCCAACTAGGCAACAACCACCACCTAAAAGAAATGACGTTGGTTTCCCTTTGTTTTGACTATGGAAAATCAAGTCATATGACTAAGAAATGTAGAAGTAAGCTTGAACTTGGTGTTGCCCCTAATGCACAGGTAAACCTGACTAATGGGCAATTTATTGCTATAGTCATTGAAATCAACATGGTTGATGGATATGTTGGTTGGTGGATAGACACATGTGTCTCTCATTGTGTCTATTATGATCGTGTTATGTTTAAAACATACACGAATACTAAAGATAAGAAAGTGTTGTTGGGAGATGGCCAGACCACGAATGTTGCTAGAATTGTAGACATGGAGCTAAATTTCACCTTCAAAAAGAATTTAATCTTAAAGAACGTTATGCATGTTCCTAAGATTAGAAAGAATATTGTTTCTGGTTTTCTTTTAAATAAGACAGGGTTTAGTCAGTCTATTGGGGTATATTTGTACGCCTTACGAAGAATAAAGTTTATATGTTTAAATTTTTTGTAAAGAATTTGAAAATGATATAATAAGAATTTGTAGTGATAGATAAACTGTATGATTCTAGTTTATTAATGAATTTTATACATGGAATTGTACATGAAATGATTGCACCATACTATCTTGCAATGAATGGTAAAATAGAAAGAAATAATAGAACTCTTACTGAATTTGTTGTTGCAATTATGATGAATTCTGGTGCTGCACCTCACTGGTGGGGGAGATTTTATTGACTGTTTGCTATGTCCTGAATAAAGTCCCCAAGTCAAAATGTAAGATCTCTCCTTATGAGATATTAAAGAGAAGACGACCAAACTTGTCTTATTTGAGAACTTGGGGTTGTTTGGCTTATGTCAGAATTCCGGATTCGAAACGAGTTAAACTCGCTAGTAGAGCATATGAATGTGTTTTCATTGGGTATGCAACAAACAGTAAAGCATATAGGTTTTATGACCTAAAGGCAAAAGTGATCATAGAATCAAATGATGTTGAATTCTATGAAGACAAATTTCCTTTCAAATTGAGAAATAGTGGGGGCACACAATCGAGTCACATTCCTGTGATAAGAAGCACAGAAACCAACGACAACGTAGAAACAGAACTTCGATGAAGCAAACGAGTAAGAGTTGTTAAAGACTATAGGCCTGATTATGCGGCTTATAATGTGGAAGAAGATCCAATGAATCTTCAAGAAGTCTTGTCATCTCTGGATGTTTATTTATGGCAAGAAGCTATCAATGATGAGATAGAATCTCTAGAATCTAACAAGACCTGACACTTAGTAGACTTGCCTCCTGGTTGCAAACCAATTGGTTGTAAATGGATTTTGAAAAAGAAACTAAAACCTGATGGAACTATTGATAAATACAAGGTTCGCCTTGTTGCCAAGGGTTTTACACAAAGAGAAAATGTAGATTTCTTTGACATCTTTTCTCCTGTCACTAGACTTACATCATTAGGGTACTTATTTCAATAGTTGCTATTTATAACTTAATAGTACACCAAATGGATGTTAAAACAACTTTTTAAACGGTGACTTAGAAGAAGAAATCTATATGAAACAACCGGAAGAGTTTGTGATCTATGGATAAGAAAACAAGGTATGTAAGTTAGATAAGTCTTTGTGTGGGCTAAAACAAGCTCCAAAGCAATGACATGTAAAGTTTGATAACTTAATGATATCGAATGTGTACAAAGTGAATGAAAGTGACAAATACGTTTATTACAAATTTGAGAATTGTATTTGCACTATCATATGTCTATATGTAGATGATCTACTCATATTTGGATCAAACATTCAGGCCATTAATGATATGAAAACATTCTTGTGCAACAACTTTTATATGAAAGATCTCGGAGAAGTGAGTGTGATTCTTGGTATCAAGATTGCAAAATCCGAGCAAGGAATTTCTTTGGATCAATCACAATATGTGAAAAAGATCTTAAAGAAATATAATTACTTTGACAGTAAACCTGTGAGCACACCAAATGATCCAAGCGTGAAGCTGTTTAAGAACACTGATGAAAGTGTTAGACAAACAGAACATGCGAGCATCATTGGAAGTCTTAGGTATTTCACTGATTGTACTAAACCGGACATTGCATATGTCGTGGGATTATTGTGCGGGTTTACTAGTAGATCGAGTAATGAACATTGGCAAGCTATTGAGCGGGTCATACGGTACCTTAAAAGGACCATGAATCTCAGTTTATATTATCAGAGATTTCCTATTATACTTGAAGGATACAATGATGCAGATTGGAATACCTTATCAGATGATTCCAAAGCAACTAGTGGCTATGTATTCAACATAGCTAGAGGAGTTGTACCTTGAAAATCAAAGAAATATACTATCCTGAGAATATAGCATTAGCGACTGCTAGTGAAGAAGCAAGTTGGTTAAGATGCTTGCTAACTGAGATTCCCTTATGGGAAAAACATATATCAATTGTGTTGATCCACTGCGATAGTACCGCGGCTATTGCAAAAATTTAGAACCGTTATTATAATGGTAAAAGACGTCAAATAATAAGAAAGCACAACACTGTTAGAGATTGTATCTCTAAAGGAGCTGTAAGAGTGGATCATGTACGCACTGATGAAAATTTAGCAGATCCTTTGACAAAAGGATTAGCTAGAGAGAAAGTCTATAATACATCATATAAGACGGGACTAATGCCTATAGGAAAATGAGTTGCTCATGATGGTAACCCGACCTAAATGACTGGAGATCCCAAGAAATAGGTTCAATTGGTAATAACAAGTTGTGAGTAATATAAGATGATCATGCAAGTAAAGCATGAATCCTGAAGTAATAAGAGGATGAGATAATAGAAACTCTTAATGAGATCTATACTTTGTATGAGGGAGTACCTAGACTACAAAAGTACTCTTGATAGACTCACCTATATTATTGTGGAACTTAGGCCGGTTCCTATGGAATTTCGAGGCAGAATTCTTAGAGCCTTCATTAAACTGGGATACACGTGCAGGACCATTAAAGCACAAGCTATTAGAATACACCTTAAGAAAAGGTTGTGTGCAAGTTTGATGTCTGAGATAAAGTTCAAGACATTTGTGTCACTCTTGTTGAATTGGAATCTTACTTGCTATGCAAAGATTCAAGTCGTAGACACCTTTGTTTATGCACAATCTTAGAAACGTTTGACGTTACTTCTAAAATCAAATTTTTTAAATTCAAGTGGGGGATTGTTGGAATATGTCCATGTTCCAATATGTTGAATTTAAAATTTTTCTCAAGTCCCACATTGTTAAAATATCTTTTTGGTTGAAAAAACCATTTAGTCCCACATTGCTCATGTGAGAAATATTAACTATCTTACTTCACTATATAAGGAGTGCATATATTTTATTTCAAATTACACCAAAAACTATTCTATTAGTTTTTCCTTCATCACTATCATAACTCTGCGTCTCTCAAATTGTCGAAGCATCATCTTCTTCCCCTTTCTTCCTACTTGTTGAATTTTTCGAGTATTTTCTTGAATTCTCTTTAGAGAATTATG